CCCCCCACAAAGAGAAGCTTAACCATCCCTGCCCCCATCTCTGTAGTTTCTGAGTCTAGTAGTTCTTGTATGAACTCAGGAATTAGACTCATTCTCTCTCTCTCTTTCTCGCTCTCGCTCTCGCTCTCTCTCTCTCTCTCTCTCTCTTTCTCTCTCGCTCGCTCGCTCTCGCTCTCTCGCTGTCTCTCCCTCTCTGTTTCTGTCTCTAGTTTCTGAGTCTAGTCGTTCTTAGATGAACTCAGGAATTAGACTCTCTCTCTCTCTCTCCTCCCTCTCTCTTTCTCTCCCCCTTTCCCTATCTCTCTGTCTCTGTCTCTTTCTCTCTCTCTTCCTCTCCCTGGCTCTGTCTGTCTCAATTTTTACAAATGGCTATACAATCAGGGTCCAGATCCACTTTTCTAAACAATAAATCATCTGGTTAGTCTTTCTCCTCTGATTCTGATCCTCCCAGTGGTGAATCCAATAGATGACCACTCAAGACCCTCCCAGCCATGAGGAATCAGGCTTTGGGGAGACTTGTGAGGCCTTCTGTCTCCTGTCTTTTCACTAGTCCAACCTCGTGACCATCTGTATGTCTTTAGTCCTACATGACCCAAATATCCCCTACTCAGAAGCTTGTGTAAGAATAACCTGGGAGTTGGTCTTCATTTATTTATATTAGTTTGTTTATTCAACAGGTAGGTTTTGAGAGCTCAAGTAGCCCGTACTTGAGAGCACTGGCCTCTTAGGATGCAATACTCAAGTTACTGAAGGTGGAGGTTGTCGGGATCTACAAAAATGCCAACAGCTTCAACGCCATCACTCTGTCATGTATCATCTAAATTTCAGGTCCATGAGAGCACTCGTCTAAGGCCAAGGCTGGTCTTAAAGACTGTCACTTGCCACTGGTTCTTCTCCATCTTTGACATCAGCCCTCCCTCACCACACATGATGAAGCAACAAGCAATCATTCACTCAGAATAACTGAAGCCCAAGTCTTTATACCCAGAATAGATTTCTTACTGTGGAGACCTTGATTCTGGCTCCTGGAGCTAATTATAGCTCTTAGTGATGCAATGCAAGGACAGTCTCTGCATATCGTGTTTACACAAAAGTCATTGACTAATTTATCACCTCTTTCAGTTTAAGACCTTCTAAATTCACAGCCCTGAGCCAGTGATCTTGCCCATTATCCCAGTGCTATAAGCCAACAGTGATCAAGATCCTTTCTAATCTTCCTCAAATATCCAAGTGTGTGTGTGAGATTTCATGTCCAGATTGGTCTAATGAAAACCATAAAGTATACATTTGTTTGTTTCTCTCACAGATGTGAAATACCGTATTTATTCCAAGAAAAATTGCTACATAGAAGTAGGCTTGTCGGAGAACAAGATAATGATCGTGGATTCTGATTTTCTGCTTTTATTATTTTTGAGTTTCCAATGCATGTAAACAACTGTAGGGAGGAGACCCTGACAATAAGCAGAACAAGCTCTGTTGATACTCAAGGTTTGCAGTCCTGGAGGTGGCTTGTCCCAAGGGATCAGATTAGGGCTTCAACTGGGGTGACAAGTGGTAGAAGGGAGGGATGGAATTCAGATCCTTGTTTTCTTGGAAGTGGACTTAAAAAGGTCTGAAGGAGAAAGATCTACAGAGACTTAGGTCATGAGAAGTACCAAAAGGGCAACAACTTAGAAATGGGCATTAAAAAGTGAAGCATAGTCAGGCGCCGATGGCTCACACCTGTAATCCCAGCTATTCAGGAGGCTGAGATGTGAGGATCATGGTTCAAAGCCAGCCCAGGCAGAAAAGTCCGTGAAACTCTTATCTCCAATAAACCACCAGAAAACCAGAAATGGCGCTGTAGCTCAAGTGGTAGAGTGCTAGCCTTGAGCTGAAGAGCTGAGGGACAGGGCCCAGGCCCAAAAGTTCAAGCCGCACGACCGACCAAAAAAAAAAAAAAACAGTGTAGCATAGAGATGACCCATACATAAGCAGGCAGGAAGAAAAGTTGTCCTGGAAGATCAGCTTCTGTTGTGAATCACAATCCTGGCAGCATTTCTCTAGAGTGAATAATTGTTTTCTAAATGTCTGTTTCCAACATGAGTCTGGCACCCGGGAAGGCTGATGTAATAGAGTAGACATTTCAAGCAGCATTTGGAAAGGTAAAACAAGACAGCTTCTGCCATGAGGCTGATAGTAGTCTATTCCTGCTTTCTTTATTTCTACTCTGTATGGGCTTTAGCAACTGTGGGTCCCAGTCCCTCACCCATGAACTGGAGCTAACAATCCCTATCTTACAGGGCTAATTAAAATAACAAAATATTTCTTTCTCCTCTCATTGTTTTTAGAATATATAATTGTCAGAAAAAGAGCCATATAATTGACTAAAAGGGTATAGGCATGAGCTAGAAAAGGCAAGGCATGATTACAATTTGGGAAGTGTTAACTACTGCATTATAAGTCCTTGTGATTTTAAACAGATAAGCTCAAGCCAGTTGACCAGTAAAACACTCTGCAACGTTGTTCCAGAATGTTCTACAGCAATGCTCTGGCTTCTGAACACATATGGCTATAGCACCCTCCAAATGTGACTAGTGCAACTGAAGGACTAGTTTTCTCATTTTTTTTCCTTTTTGATTACTTTGAATTTAAATAGCCGTACATAGATAGCAGTGATGGAACTAAACATGTAATGTGAACATTCACAATAATGTTCATCCACATCAGCATGCGTTTAAGCACCTAGGTTCTGAAATCAGAATATCCAGATTCACTCAAATCCCAGCTCTGCAAACTGGTGCTTTCCCATAAGCTCCTTGTGTCTCAGTTTCCTCATCTGTAAAAGGGACATGCTAATGACCCAGAACATGAGATGTTGGAAGGTGTAATGCACGTCAGCACTTTCAAAAGGTAGTATGATTGTTTCCCCTGTAATAACAATTCTCAGATTTTATTGGGACAGTGACTTTGCTCCACTGTTTCACATACCCTGCAAGGTAGTTTTCAACCCTCATCTACTGGGACTTTCATTAAGGAAAAGTGGAGGCTGAAGGCAGGGAGAGGAGACAGATGTAAAGGTAGATAAGGCCAAATGAGTAAAATAGGCAGTAATGTTTCTTATGAAAACTAAAGTGATCTGCTAAAATGAAAGAAATGAAATATGAGAGCTTGAAATGAAATGTGCAGTGCAGAGGACTCTTGGGGGGGGGGGGGTAAAAAGGAAGCCTGAGACACTGGGGAAAAACATACTTGCAAGTGACATTGAAGGGATTTGACAGCCAGGAGGGAAAGGAGAAAAGAAGACAAAAGACCAGCGGGTCTTTCCTAGATTCCACATCCATGAAAATATAAACTTCAACTCATCAAATGCATTTGACGAAGCAACTTCAAAAGAAGACCATTGTGGGTGTATAGCCTCATTTGTTCCTGTCATATTTTTCATTTCCAAGAGGACTGAAGTATAGCCTTTGTTAAGTGCTCCATGTCCAAGGGTTTTGTTTATACTCTGTCCACCAGTTTCCCCAAAAAAAGCAGTGTTGGGCAAGTTTTCATAATGTTTATTCATTATAAATAGTAAATATTTACTGCACTTTTTACACGAAAGACATTTTTACAACATGTTGTTGTTGGTTGAAGCCGCAACACAAAGATACTAACATCTCATTCCATCACCCGGTCCAATGTCTGACCTAAATTCCACACTATGTCTAGTTCCCTAGCTCACTATCTTTTAGTTGTCAACTCTAAAAGGAATGTACCTGGGTCTACCTCATTCATGGTTCCAAGAATAGAAAGAAATAAATAACACTGCCTTCCACTTTCTTGCTCCTCTTTAACATATAAAAAAAAAGAAAAACAGATTTATTGACATTCTAGAATGTCACCACGCAAACGTATGTAAACCTCAGTTCCTATCGTCGTTTAAAAGAGGATGTCATTGTATAATTTAAAAGTACACGAGAGCCATGTGGACATTTCTGCTCTCATCCTGCCTTTCGTAGCAAAGAGAAGAATGTAAACGTAATCATTTAAGAAAAACAACAAACATCGTTCTCTGATATAATCACTAATTAAAAAAAAAACAAGGAGCAAGCCAGGCATTGGTTGTCCAGCAAATAGCACACATCGCTGCATTCTATCACAATGAATTATGGGCTGCAAAAATAAAGCACCTGCAAAAATATAGTTCTGATTTAGTTTCTATGACCTTGGCCATTGCCAAAGCTCCTGTGAGGTACACAGTATTGCACGCTGAAAAGCAGATAATTGTTGAACATGTGTTATTTCTTCCCTAAATGCCCTTCCCCACCCCTCCCCATCCCCCCCCCCCCCACCCAGGTCAGCTCCCAAATGAAATGTGAATTGGGAAAACACCATACACCTCTTCCCCACGTCCTGAAAGAAAACAACCTTGTCTTCCTGTTATCCCACATCCTATAGGTAAGATGCGTCCAGGATATTTATTGACAACTAGATTACAAATGAGGATACAATAACAAATAATTTATTTGGGAGGTCCTTTACATCTAGTCTAGCTTCCTACAAAACAAAAATAAAAATGATGATGGCATTTCTTTTTCTATCAATTTCCAGTGTGTAAAAGTCAAGGGTTCCTCCATTCCTGCTTCATGATAGGAGCAGATTTTTAAGTTACACAAGTGTCAACCTGGGACCTCCAACATGATAGACTGTATAGAGTATTCTACTACATTTTAGAACATTCTGCTTGCTCAACCCAGTCCAGGTAAATCACAGCTACACACATAGCGCATACACACAAATGGAATGTTTCAGCTCCTCAATAATCAGCAATCAAGAGTTGGGAGATTTTGATAATGTCGTCAAGGTTAAAAGCCTTTGCCTAAAAATGCTGCAACTGTTTCTTATTGCTCCAGCTCTTCCTCTTCTCCACGGCTTTTGTCCAACTTGTTCAAAAGAACCTGAAACTCAACTACTGGAGAAAGGAAAATCAATCATTTTTTTTCTTTGTCTCCACCTTCCCTAAAGGGTGAATTTTATTTTTTTAATTTTTATTTTCTGAGAAGACTCTTCATGTCTAGGCTGTGGAGACCGGAAACGGGGCTAGTTTTAGCTCCAATGGACAGTTCACTTATGCAATATCTGGCTTGAGATAATGAAAGGCACCTGGAAGGAAACACACACAGCTCTTTAGGTCATGCTGGGACAATTCACAGTAAGGGGCAATATCAGCTACAGGCTGACAATGTCATATTTAATACCGCCGTATCAAAGCATTGAGACTAATATTTTTATTCCTGAGACAAGTTTGACACAAGTCTGTGTCCCTGGGATTACACCCCGTATGATTCTTGGGCTGACCTCATTAAGAACATGTGTTTCTAATGCCAGGGGTGAATTCATTTTGGCCAGCCCTCATGTTTTACCTACTGGCGATCAGGGTTTACGTCTCAACAATTAATAACTGCAAGATGTTATGGATATCAGTTAAGAAAATAATTATACAAGGGAACCCTGGCTCGAATAATCTGCTGGCTTTACCACAAAATTGACGCTGGGATATAAAGCTAAATCAGGCCTCCTGCTCCCCTTTCTTAAGCAAGAGGTGAATTTCTCTCTTTTCTCTTCCAGGAGTGATTACCCTTTAGAAAGTCCAAGGCTTACTTTGTCCATACTGCCCATATTGGTAGCCCGTGACTGGGTCCATACTGTAGCCTGTGGTGCTATAGGTGGGTGGACAATAGGACTGAGATGTAGGCAGACTGTCCAAGCTCTTCATATGATCTAGTCTCTGACTGCAGCTGGCCGACACGGTGGTGGTAGGTTCCAGGCCCCCGGTGAGAGGCGAGAGTGCGTAATCAGTCTGAGGCTGATGAGGTACCCCGCCATGGTTGGTCAGCAGTCCCATTACCTAAAACAAGCAGGCAGAGAGGAAGAAGTTCAAATACGAGGAGACACAGATGGATATACTACATAACTGAAAGAATCACCCAAAAGCCCATTCTTTTTTAACAAGTTTCTTTGAAAATCCATTAGAGAGCGATTCCAAAGGCAGAGCCCTCCATTCAAAGGGGTTGTGTTAGTGCATCAGGTGTAATGATGGCATCCGATTACAGGCTCAGAAAAAGGAAGAAGGGAGGGAAAGCCAAGGGAAAGTAAAAGAAGGAAGGAGAGGAAGAAGAGACAGAGGGAGAGATTAAACTAAGACTTCAGCGATTAAAATCACTCTGGAATTTCAAAGAAAAGGAAAGAAGTAATGGAGAGAGGAAGGAGTTATGTTCATTCAGATAGAAAAAAAATCTCTAATATAATTATATCTGGAAGCTTCACATGGGATTCCCCTCCCTTTTATTTTTTTCTTTGTGCAGTGCTGAGTATTGACCCATTGCTTTATCAGGTAAACACTCTATCAATGAGTTACCATCTCAGCGATCACATGTGATTTTAAATAGACATTTACTAGACATTGTTTAAAAAATTAGGAGCAGGGAGCAATTCAATAGTGGAGCAGTTGTGTGGAATGCACAAAGCCCCAGGTTCCGCTGCTAGTACCAACAAATATACAGATGAATAAAAACATAGGTATTAAATGAATCCAAATCAAGGTTTTGTGATTTTTTTCAAGACTTCTATGTATTTTTCAGTGTTTCTTCTCAAGAAATTGCTTCTGCTTGTCTTGACCATCCTAAAAATCATTTCTCCCTCTCTGGTGTTCCCCTGCATCTCCCTCCTCCCTCCTGCCATGTGTCATCTGCTTTTGACTTCTGGGGCCTCTAAGCCCTGGGAACACAGCCTGAGGAGCAATGCTGGGCTGAACAAATAAGTGTTGATGTTCCTGTACCATCTAACTGTCTCCCTTTCTCGATTCTACTACCTACCCACTCCTTTCTCCTCTAATCTACATTTCACATGCTTGAACTCTAAAAGAAAACCAAGCCTGAAATGGAAACATGTTCTTTAACTGTATTTTTTTTTGTTTGTTTTTTCTTTTTTGGTACTGGGGATCAAACCCAGGACATTGCACTTGCTAGGCAAGCGCTTTGCCACTGAGCTACATCCCAGCCCGGAAACATGTTCTTTAAAATGTTGGATTTTGTAAGTGACCCTGGGGAGTAAGATAACTTACAAACAAAAGCAAAATGCAACTTCCCAGAACAACTTCTTAGAAAGTCAGGCAAAATGGTTCACAACTCAGGCTTACTGAAGGAATAAGTGCATCATTAATTTTGCAAGCTGGAAAAATAGTCATACAAGACAGGAAGGGATTTTTTTTCTCTCTCAAAAGCAATCACAGGGGAAATCTACTGCTGAGTGAAGCGCTCCCAGAAAACACACAGACAACTAAGGAGGCGAAAATGCAGAGAACCCCGCCATTGCAAATGTCCGTCACAGAGCTGCAGAAATGGAAAGAAAGCATCCCTGACACGCGCTGGTCCCCCCTGGCAAGCCGCTCTCACTCACAGACAGTTCAAGCAACAGAATCCTGGATCTAAAGGCTCCAGCAAGATGGGGGTCTGGGGCTGGCCTTGCCTCCCAGAAAGCACTCCAACTCAGAGTAGAAAACAAGGATCCTATAGCTTCCTTTGGGAAAGGTTTGCATAATCTTACAGCACTCTTCTTGAACTGAGGCTTTAAACTGATCCATCTTCAGTGAACCCCAAGAGACCAAACAGAGACAGAAAGAGAAGGGGGGGAGGGAGAATCTGTTCACCACTTTCAGTGCATGATCATCCACTCCACTCCCCTGCCCTCCATTTCCTGTGTGTAACTCCCAGGAAGGTGGGCAGGGGTGGCTGAGGAACCACAGTTGTTTACATTTTGGAAGATATTCCAGAGACCTTAAGTTTTCTTGAGATTATTCTCCAAAGATTATTTATATTTATCTATTTATTATTCCTCCAAAGATTATTTATATGCTATAAAATAATCAGCAGTAGAAAATATAGTTTTGTTATACTGAGGATTGCAGAAAAGTAAATGTTATACAATAAAAATCAATAGGATGTACAGCTACAGAAAGACAGAAAGTCACTGGAACACAGACTCTCATAGGACCCTCCAATATTATGTAGAGAAACTTAATATCTTGTTTCTTGTTTAATTTGTGTGTGCATGTATGTGGGGTGGAGGGGCTTGAACTCTGGGCCTATGGTCTTACTCAGCTTTTTTACTCATGACTGGTGTTCTACCATTTGAGCCACACCTCCACTTCCAGCATTTTGCTATTTAGTTGGGGATAAGAGTCTCATGGCTGATCGCCCCCAACTAGCTTTGAACCATGATCCTCAGATCTAAGCCTGAGGATTGTTTCTTTATTTAAAAGCTTTGTCCAGAGTTCAGGCCCCACAACCAACCAAAAAAAAAAAAAAAAAAAAAAAGTTGAATACAACCACAGATACTCTTAAATTATTACCTACATATTCTGCTATTATGTAAATGTTTCTTGTGTGCCTTTCTTGGAGTTTATACAGATAATATAACTCTGAAAATTTATAAAGTTCAATTGATATACTGATTTACTAAGCATAATGATAAGAAAAATGTGATTTTTTTTAATGAAAGGGCAAATCTGTTACCATAACTAAGCCATGCTAATTAAAACACAAACACCAAAGAAAAGAAATTAGTCCAGGAAAAGAAAATATCCAGGGATACTAGTTCAAACAACACTATATTTTAAATTAATAGTATCCTTCACGAACACTTGAGTTACTTAAGTTATTTTGGCATGCCAATTTAAGGCAGAGATGAATACTCTACCTATAGTTACAGGTAAAGAACCTGGAGCAGGATTTTATTCAAAGCATCCACGCTCTCCCATGAAAAATATATGTACATTTTTATGATAAAGTTGTTGAAATCCGCTGCCATACATTTCTTATTGCATAACTTTGAAGACAGCAGTGTCAGGGACATAAGGAGCTTGAAAGAAGAAAAACAACTCCTTCCTATATGCAAAATATCAACTAATGGTATTGTTCATGTAGTTGGCTTTTGCAGTAGCTACACTGGAAAAATTTTGAGGACAGCATTAACTCTAAGATCTTGGAATGTATCATTTGGAGAATGGGGATAACAGCGCTGTCTGCAGGACCATGGTCCAAAGAAATGCAAGGAGTTCTTCAAAAGCTCCAGGGTGGATTCCTATAAGACCCAGATAAAGGTTTCTACTATAGTAAAAGACCTGAAGCTGGGTGCTTCAGGTTCAAGAGGTTGAGATCTGAGGATCTCAGTTCGAAGTCAGCTGGAGCAGGAAAGTCCATGACACTCTTTTCACCAATTAACCACCAGAAAACTGGAACTGGGGCTGTGGGCTCAGAAAACTTCAGGGACAGTGCCCTGGCCTTGAGTTCAAGCCTCATGACTGACAAGAAAAGAGACAGAGAGACAGAGAGACAGAGACAGAGAGAGAGAGAGAAAGCCCTTAGCATCACAAAGGAACACAGCAGTGGCTAATGGGAAGAGAAAAAGAGAATATAAGATCAATTATCTTTTCTCCTTCTGACTCTCCAATAGAGTCCAAAATACAGGCAATTTCCTATAAATGCTTAATTCTTCTGTGATAGCCACATCTTATATATGAAATCACAGTCAGGTTAAGGTGGCACACAACTGTAATCCAACACTGAGGGTGCAGAGGCACAAAGATGTGCCTGGATGTGAGAGAGAGAGAGAGAGAGAGAGAGAGAGAAAGGGGGGGAGGGAGAGAGGGAGGGAAGGAGAAGCTTTGTTTCAAAAAAAAAGAAAGAAGGAAAGAAATTGTATAAAGATAGGGAATGAAATACTATTATTTCCCTAAATTTTATCTAAACTTTGACTTTATAAATAACACTGAGAAAAATGACATTTTATATATGCATATATATGCCACTTTAATAAGCTGTCACTTAACAATTAAGAAGGATATCTGTGTTGAGAGGGAGTAAGTATATCAATAGAAAAGGCATTATTTCCCCTAACATAATTCAAACCTCAAATCTCTATGGAAGGGTCCCATTACACTCTTATGTATGCTTCTTTAAGAGCTGTTTTGTGTTTCATGTGGTTCGAGGGAAGCTAGGGGAACTTCTTTTTGTGTGCAAGATGTTGGTAAATGAACTTCAACTTTCTGCCAAGCAATCATGGATTGACATCCAGTGCTACTCTCTTTCTAAGAATACTGTTTCTTTCCCTATAGCAATTTATTGTGCAAAGCCTTAAGTAAAATCTTAGTTTGTGATAAGGTGGTATTTACCCCCTCTGGAGCCATGAGTAAACCATTTCTACTACAGGGCTAGCCTTTTGTTTGTTTGGTTGGTTGGTTGGTTGGTTATTTGTTTAATTTGGGGTAAAAGAGAACAGCAGGTTTGCCTGGTTTTCACTAACAATTTCAAAGGAAAAGAAACAAATTCAAGGCTATTCAATCCTGCTACTCAGTTGTTTATGAAATACCAGGTAAAAATCCAGGAGACAGAACAGAGAAAAACAGCGCAGGTAAAATGTTCAGTTAACTCTCTTGATTTTTTTTTTTAATTAGGAGTTTTCTTTAAATAAAGGTCTCTATTCCGTGTTACTGGAAAAGATAGGTGGGGTACGGACTCATTGGTTCTTTGTTTTTATTTTCAGTTATGAATAAACTCTTAGTTGTACAAGTATCACTTCTAAAGCACGTTACTAGTGACCTCTAAACAAACTGAGGACCCTGAGTTCTTGTGTTCCTACTTTTTTTCTGCCATTCTTCCATCGTCTGCATTATTAGAGACATTTTCGGAAGACCTCTTTAAACTCATTCTCAAGTTTCAGAATTCCAAATAGGTTGTTTATATCTTGATTGGAAGATTATATGGTTCAAGAAAAACTAACTCTTTACAATTGCTTCATGTAGTATTTCTCTTGAATTAATTTTCCTATTGTAAGATTAAATATAAAAGA